TCTCTCTCTCTCTCTCTCTCTTTCTGTCTCTCTATCTTTCTCTCACTCTCTCTGACTCTGGTCTCTCGCTTTTCGTCCGACTATCTTGGCAACGGTAGACCGAGATGACGAGAGCTTAACGATGAAACACGCGCGAACGACGAGCGAGCGAGCGCGTAAGATTTTTGCACGTAGATAAAATGTTTTTTGCACCACGAAAGGAGGAACAAGTTTTGACACGTGTTTTTGAGGGAAACTCTACCTTTTTTTCCATGCTGTCCGCCGTGGACGCACGATTTGATTCATGTAAGTGACAAAGAAAATTTTTTTTCCACCTATCACCAGAAATCCCCCCTATTCTCTCTCTCTATATATCTCTCTGTGTTGCACAAACCTGTGTGTTAGTGTTTTTTTGTCGGAGCGTGTTCGGCGCGGCGCGGGCGCTCCGCGGCGCGGCTTCGACGTCTCGTTTCGCTCTGCATTTTTTCCGTCTCTGTCTCTGAACCCACACAGCCGTCCGACTGTTTCCCCCCGCCACACAACACACACTCTATCGCCCACCAACGTCTCTCCGTCTCTTTTTTTCGGAAAAGAGAAAAACCAATATACGCGGGGAGACAGCACGCGAAATTGCACCTTTCCTCGATATATATATATATTATATATTATGTATACATACATATATGTATATAAATATGTATATATCTATATATTTACAGAAATATATATATACATATCTCTGCATGTACATATATGTACGTATAAAATAGACATATACATATATACATACGTATATGTGTATACAATGTAGCGCACTCTTCACACCTCGTGAAAATACGAACGATAACAGGCCGCGTAGACCGCAGGCGAACGCGATTCGTATTTTCACCGCACATAATACGCCGTTTAACCCATTGATGGTCCATTGAAAATAATCGTTGATCCTTTTTTTCGATAGCGGAATCGACAAATGGAGGTGCCAGTAAGTTGAACCACACATATTAAGAGTGTTGTAGCAATGTATATCTCACCCTCTCGTTACCTATTCTCTCTCGTGTTGTTCTTTAGTATATTTTTTTTATCTCTCCCCTCGTTTTTACCTGTTGTGTCTCTCTTTCTCCCTCTCTCTCTCTCTCTCTCTCTCTCTTTCTGTTTCTCTCTCTTTCTTTCTCTCTCTCTCACTTCTCTTTAGTTGAATTTTTTATTTTTCACCTGTCGTTGTCTTGTTGTTGTTATTGGTTTTCGAATTCGGGTATTTTGAACACTCATCAAAGCACGCGCGCACATTCATCGTTCATCTACACATTCATCGTTCACCCGCACAGTACACGAGTTTACATACACATACATACACACAGCCGAGCATCTGTTCACACTTATGCGTGCCGTTCACAACACAAGTATGCACACATAGGATTAAATACACATATATGTGTTCGTAGCTAATCGACTGCAATGCGATACACACCCTGTACTTTCTAGTCTACCGCTTTCCGCTGAATTACAACCGTAGTCACGAGACACCGCGGGACCTCGTACAGACAAATACGATTTATTCACTCCGTTCTACTTCCTGCCCTGAAACGTGTGTATTTTTTTTTATTTATTTTTGTTTTGGTTCTTATGGTGTCCTTTTCCTGGGGGTTTTTACTCTCGTATTGTTCTGTCCCGTGACTAACTAGAGTGGCTTGCCCTGTCCGGACGCGTTTTCGCGCGGATATACCAACGGCTGTTTCTTCGTTCTAGAACCCGGTACTGCGCCGAGGAAGGTCCAGGTCCGACCATTAAGCTCCACCACGATGGTCATACAATGGGACGAGCCGGAGACACCGAACGGTCAAGTCACGGTTGGTTCTCTCGATTGTTTATTTCGCTTTCGTCTAACACTTTCGGTGCCGGGCGCAACGTTTTAGACACGAGAAAGTACATTCACTTTGCCAGTCGTTACATTAAACCAGAAACAACCTAGGGAAAAAATGGCTCGTATAGCACAAGACTAAGAACTTCACTCTTGATAATGTGCCCGGCCAGAGTCTCCTACAACCTTTCACCGCAGAGTTACAGGAATTGAAACATCGGCAATTTCTCCATAACAATTTAACGATTCTTTCGCTTTACGAAGTGGCGTGTGTTCATTATGCTCGTTACATAATGTTCCGTTACTCTACTCAAACTATATACAAGAGAAATAGAAACATTCCCCGTGTTTGTTACAAGTTTCGTTTCCGAGTTACGCAAAGTCCGAATCAAACCCAGTAAACGCGAAACGACTGGCAGATGAAAGTTCGATAGTTTCATTGAACGACGTCTTTAAAAGAAACTGCCTCCGTTCCGAACAGGGTTACAAAGTGTACTACACGACGAATCCGAACGAGCCGATGGCGTCCTGGCATTACCAGACAGTGGACAACAACCAGCTGACCACCGTCGGCGATCTGACGGCGCACGCGATCTACACGATCCGCGTGCAGGCGCTGACCAGCGTCGGACCTGGCCCGCTGAGTTCTCCCGTGCAAATAAAAACGCAGCAAGGGGTGCCGAGCCAGCCGGAGATGTTGACGGCGATCGAAACCGGGGAGACCAAAATAACGCTCCAATGGAGTAAACCTGTTCATAGCGCGGAGAATATCCTCAGCTATGAACTGTATTGGAACGATACTTACGCTCAGGTAGGTGTCACACTCTTCGAACCGTCCAATTAGAACCGAAAACGCAACGCACACACGAGTTTGTTCCCGAACAAACGATCCCTCCACTTAAGTTATCTCCACGCTCAGTATAGACAGTGTTCGATTATTTACCGAACCGGCGAACGAACACGCAGCATCGTGGGAAAGGAAAACGGAACCCGTTTCATTCCCGGCACGCGTGATTCTGACGATGTCGTCTTGTAATTCGTACAGGAAAAGCATCATCGGCGAATACCGGTGACGGAGAACTACACGCTGACGGGTCTGTACCCTAACACGCTGTACTACGTGTGGCTGGCGGCGAGGAGCCAGAGGGGCGAGGGAGCAACGACGATGCCGTGTCCGGTCCGCACGAAACAGTACGGTAAGCAGAACAGCAAAGAACCAGCGGAAAAGTGAAATGGGGAAGGAGTTCACGCAGCGAGGAGTGCCGAACAAAGGTCGATTCGCGATTGTGCCGATGAAGAGGACGTCTGAATGACGCGGGAGGATCGCGTTTCTCCGCGGTCCATCTGCACGGTCACGATCGCGAATCCTCCTGGCACAGCAGGTAGGAGGTGCTGTAGCGCTAGACGCTCCTGCAAGTAACGTAAGCTATGAGACGCGCGCGTCACAACCTTGAGAAGAGGCCATGTTTTGATAGGCAAGCTCTCGATGGCCAATGATCACGTGAATCCGTCATTGAACGCGATTCCTGGGCGGGTAAACGGGGATCACGCCAGAAGAGAAAGACGGAAGATTAGAGAGTATCGTTGAAACCGTGAAAAGTGTGGGAGAGTGAGAATGATTGCATGCGTTGCAAATAAGAAAGCCGTTTTGGATGCCACTTTATATATATATCTATATATATATACGTACATATCATACATATAAATTGCACTAAGCACTGCATCGATATATGTGTGCATTTTGGGCACCTCTTTTCATTCTCGATAACGTATGGTTTACACGTCCGTTCTTCGATTGTTTTTTATTTATCTTTTTTTTTCTCTCTCTCGTCACGTTGTTTCGTTCGAACCAACTCACGAAACGAGACACGGGGCACGGGACAAGTTGACTCGCGAGCAACACCGGCTCCTGGGTTAACCGCTCGTCCCCGGGCGAACATGTTTTGTTTTCTCTAATCACGTAATTTTTCGACTGTTCAAGGATCGACTCGTAGAATGTATTTTTCCTCGAGTGATCGATACCTCTCTGAACCTTGACCAATCGTCACCGTAATGTTTTCAGTTCGATCCCCCACGACTGTCGGTCACCGGAGCGAACGGTGACCAACGGGCTTCGAGCATCGTCGGGCTCCTTCGAGTCGAATCTCGCCGAAAATTCGTCGTTCACCGATTGAACATTTTATGCTTTTTTCACGCCAACCGACGGAATCGTTCGACCGCATTGCTCAACAGTTTGTGTTTGTTTGGCGTGAACGCTTCGACGTTTGAACGTTTATTATCGAGTTGTTTCATTGCTTTCGTTACATCCATTTTTTCTGCGTTCGTCTCAGCTTCCTTTCGATCGTGTCCCTCGTACCAAAGGAATTCCACCAATAAATTCTTTATCGATATTGTTCAATTCCAGTATTCGTCATTCAGTAATATTCAGCAAGTTTTCTTTCTAGAATAAAGCATCATTGCCGAAGAATGAATCAACGTTCGTTCGAACTTTAACCGTTTAGCTACGGCAAGGTTTCACGCGGTCGAATTTTCCACTGTTCAAATTAGATTAGATCTAGTCAGTTATTAGACCTACTTAATAAAGATTAGATCTAATCCGTGTTATATTAGACTATAACGAGCACGGTAAACGAAAGGTTCCAAAAGATCCGGAGTATTTGACGAATTCCCGGTGCAGTCTTCGTCTCGGGACCCGACGCTCGATCGACGGGCACCGATCGATCGATGACCGACGGATTGATTTCCCTGCCACGTTTTCGTTTTGTTTCTCCTCCCCCTATAACTGAGTGTTATACAGTCCCCGGGGCTCCGCCTCGCAATGTAAGCGGACAAGCGATCAGCCCGACGTCCATATTGGTAACATGGGAACCCCCGCCTGCCGGTCAATCGAACGGGAAGATCGTGTACTACAAGCTGCAAGTCGTCGAGAGCGGACGCTCCGACTCGGAGGCGAAGGTTATCAGACTGAATGACACGCAATTCGTGTTGGACGAACTGAAAAAATGGACCGAGTACCGGATTTGGGTATTGGCCGGGACCACCGTAGGTGACGGACCCCCGAGTTATCCTATCTCAGTCAGAACCCACGAGGACGGTATGTATCACTGACGTTCATTTTTAACGATCCTTCTACGTTTACGTCAGGCTGCCGAAGAGTGGCGCGAGAAGCTTCAACATTTGACACCCCGAAAATTTTCATCGAAGACAACACACTGTCGTCGTTAATCTGTCGCGTGTGCATCGATCTATTATATCACAGAGAGAGAGATAAGATGATTTTCGCGTTTTGTCGTGTTAAAACGTTTCGATGGGTCGTGTGAAATTTCGAGCGCCACGCTTCGCGTGTATCAAACACATTTCTACTCTTGCGAAGGCGACGTAATCACGCGGAACTAACAAGTTCGTCGCGCAAGAGCCAAAAATATAAAAGCCCGCCAAAAATCAGTTCCGAAGATGATCGCGCGAATCCAGTACGCGGGTTGCGATGACACGCCCTGTTTTCTCTCCGTGCCGATAATACAATCTCGTTCGGTCTGCCATTTTAAATGAAAATGAAAGAAAATAGAAAAATTCCTACGTACACGTATATCTAAATGTATTTTCGATTTCAGATTCCGCTAACGTCTCTACGATACCTGTCTCTTCCCGATACTGACACTCAAATACTCTGAATATCCCCACTCTACGAGTTTCCTTTTCGTTTTCACTGGTTCTGGTTTCCTTTTCGTTCATTTTTGTGTTTCCTCTTTTTCTCTCTTGTGCTCTGTATTTTCACATCGACGAACGATGATCAGTTCTTACTTTCGTTTAGTTTCGTTTCTTTGTTCACCTTGCGTTCCCCGTTCACATTATTACATCGCTGTTACTCCGTACCATTTTCGATCTTTCTTTCGTTCTCAGTCGTATCTTGATTAATTATTCTATTGTTGTATTCGTATATTTGTAATTTGTATATTGTACAAAGATAATCAGTATCCATAGCGTTTTTTCGCTGAGAGAAGCCACTTTTACGTTTCAGTTGACGCTTTCGAGAAACGAACTGTCAAGTCACCCCCGCCGCGACAAACGGAGGAAACGACACGGCTAACGGAAAACGTGTACACATGCACACAGATACACGCAAATATGTACACGCATAGACACAGACACCGCGTGCCTTTTTTTCGATCGTACGCGGGAAATATTGATTTTTGCCGCGCGAACGCAACTTTTGAACGCGCGCACTTTTTTTCCACGTCTCTCCTTCAAAGCTGGTCCATCGCTCTCCTATCGCGTA